AAGTCCCAGAATTCCCCAGCCAGCGAATGCTGGCTGGGGAATTCTGGGAGTTGAAGTCCAGACATCTTCAAGTTGCCAAGGTTGAGAAACACTGAGATAGACAACTGGCGTATTACCATAATAATTACATTTCAATGCAAATATTAAACTGATTTTTTATCCAAGGCATAATCTACTTTTTGCCATATCATTCAAAATTCATTTCTTGGCCTCAAAAAATGTTGTGCACTGAGTTTGATAGCGTGACCTGGACTTTGCTAATAACTCCCCCCCCCACTCCCCCATGCCCTCTAGCAAGGGGTTATGGATTTTTCTTGTCTGCTTCATTTTGCATGTGGCACCAGTCAAAAGGCTTATGAACTGTTGGGCTTCCCCTCCTTAAGAGGCTTTCTGGCACAAAAGGAAAAAGGTAAAAGGACAGCACAGGTGATTTAGTGCTGTTGGCCAGAAGAGGTTGCTCTATCAGATGGCAGAAAGCTGGCGGGCTCAAAATTTGATTTCAAAATATTTCCCTTCCAAGCTACTTCAGAAACCTTTTCTTTGTCCTGGTACCTTTTATGAAGCATTTTCTAAACTTCAGGCCCTTCAGGTTGCTCACTTTTTGCAAACTGTGACACAGTATGTTGGCACTATATTTTATGTAATTCTGAACAATTCTGCACCATTTGTTTGGAAGGAAGAAAATCTTGATGGAACACCTAGTGTTGTACTGCGCAGAGCTATAGGTAAAGGTAGCCAGTTTGCCTGTCAATTTCGCAGAAGACGAGCAACGTATTTGGTTGTTTTACAGAAAAAGCCACGGATGGCTCCCTACAGAGCGAAGACTGGACGCTGAACATGGAGATATGCGACATCATCAATGAGACAGAAGAAGGGTATGTCTTTGCACACCCTGTTAGCTGACGGTAGATTTGCCTTTTGCGATTTTGGAGGCGTCTTTCTCTGGGAAGAGCAGTGGCTTGTTGGTCAGGTGGTCTCTACCAGCAGTTTAGATGTTTGGCTCCCGATAACCGCAGACTGTGTTCGCTTGCCTTAACCCCAATCCAGCAGAGAAGATGGCACTAAATGGACCAATGACTTGAAGTTTTATGAGCCAAACAGCCCCCAGCATTTCATTTTAAGCCTGAAGAGCTTGTTCTGTAAGAGGTTGTTCAAGAAAGTGTTCAATAATATTTCAAATAGCTGGAATATTTTAGTCCAACGCAGCTGTCTGTGTTCAAATGCCATCGCAGTATTGTTGGCCCATCTTCTGCAGTCTCCCTTTAGGCAAAAGCTTCACAAAACCAACATCTTTTGGTTGGGGTGGCGCAGTGGTTAGAGCGCAGCACTGCAGGCTACTTCAGCTGACTGCTAGCTGCAGCTCCACAGTTCAAATCTCACTGGCTCNTTGTTGGGGGCGATATGCTGACTCTGTAAACCGCTTAGAGAGGGCTGAAAGACCTATGAAGCAGTATATAAGTCTAACTGCTATTGCTATTGCTGTTCCGTTTTTCACCCTCCGGAAGCTTCAGGAAAGCTCCCAAGACCTCCAGAGGGCATCGGAGGTGGGTGGTGGTGGTAGAGGAGCTGTTTTTGCCCTCCCCAGGCTTCTAAAAAACCTCAAGCCTGGGGAAGGCGAAAAAAACGTGGCAAAAGTGGGTTGGTGGTGTGGCTGATTGCACACATGCGTTGGGGAGGAGGCACGTGCATAGCATTATGGGTGTGGCATGCTGGCACAGCCCCCCCCCCCCGTGCTCCCCTGCTTTTGGCACGGCAGCCAAAAGAAAGTTTGCCATCACTGTACTAGGCGTTCCCTTGGCAAGTTGCAGACCAGCAAGTCTTGGCAGTGAAAAGCGGGCAGGGCCTTTCCCGAGAAACAAAATGCTCCCTTTTTGTGCTCCGGCCCTTACTTCTGAAGTCAAGCTGCAGGGATTTGACCTCTTTGAAGTTGATGCCTTCCTTCTTGGCCAGCTGGCCCGCGTCGTCCTGAGGCCCCTGCTCCTCCACCGCTTTCTGCAGCATCTCCTCATTGATGACGTTGGGCTCGATGCTGTCGTAGAAGCGACTCATGGTTGGGAGAAAGCCGAGAGGAGGTTAAATGGGTTCCGTGGCTGGCCCTGGAATGCAGAGAGAAAATGAGCCCCATTGCTGGGATCTCTCTCTATAGGGGCGGAGTTCCAAACAGAACAGATTAACAGAAGTTGGAAGGGACCTCTTAGGTCATCTAGTCCAACCCCCTCCCCCCCAAGCAAGAGACGCTACTTCTGACAGATGGCAGTCCAGTCTCTTCCTGAAAGCTTCCAGTAATGAAGATCCTGGCAACCAGCGACCACCAGGCCTTGAAGAGTCTCAGGGACCCCTCAGCGTGCTTCATGCACCGTACAGGCAGTCCTCGACTTATATCAGTCCTTGCTCAGTGACCACTTGACGTTACAACGGCATTGGGGAAAAAAGTGACTTGGTTGGTTTTCACATTTAGGACCATCGCAGCATCCTCATGGTCATGTGATCAAAGTTCAGATGCTCAGCAGCTGACTCACATTTATGACGGTTGCAGCGTCCCAGGGGATTACATGATCCCCTTTTGCGACCTTTCCGACCAGCAAGGTCAACGGGGAACCTGGATTTGTTTAATGACCATGTGGCTCACTTACCAACTGCAGGGATTCCCCCAACTGCGGTGGCGAGGAAGGTCGTAATATGGGGCAAACCTGGCTTAACGACGGTCTCACTCGACCAACTGAAATTTGAGGTTCTAGTGTGGTCGTAAGTCGAGGGCTACCTGTATCTCTTCTGCAGCTGTCTTGGTTGACGGCCTTCTTTTAGGGGGATCGAGGCCTACCTGGCCCTGCGTGGACTGAAGCCTCTCTCGGCTTATCCCGAGCTCCGGTCCGCACCTGGCAGTTGGGGACCGTCGGGGACCCTCGGCCTTGGCGGAGGAAGGCCTCGTTGCTGTGGAAGCCGCGTCCGTTGCTAGGGAAGGTCACGTGATCTTTATCGGATCCCCGCCTGCCTTTCTTCTCGCGTCGGAGCAGCTAGCAGGCGAGTTCGATTCCCATTCGCTTTGCAGGACATCTGTCAGCGCCGGCCTACCAATGAAAAGCCACATAAACAGCCGTTCCCTCTCGGGATTGGTTACCGGAGCCTCACGGCTTGCAAATCACTTGCGAATCCCACCCAATAGTCTGCGGGCTTCTCCCGCAACGTTCTCCAATGGCGAGGCGCGGGAGGCGGGCCCCCCC